CTTGATAGCATTGTGGAACATCAAGCGACGGAGAAGATCATTGTCTTCTATGAAAATGAGAATGTGGCATGGTACTTGGCCAGCATGCTCGACGTGGTGAGTAGGCAACTACAGTCTATGCACAGTCTATGCAACGCGAAGCTAACTTGACGAACGCAGATTTCAGTGTCACACCTAATTTACGCCAAATCACTGGCATACGATCGAAAGATGCAGTACATCAATACATTCAACCATGAAGACAAGTTTCGGTCAGTTTGCTACCTACCTCCTTCATCGAGTAGTCTCTTACATGCATAACAGCGTAATTCTCATGGACCTGTCCCAAGCAGCTGTCGGTCTGGATATGCGCGCGGCTTCGAGAATCTACTTCATCAACCCGGTCCTGAACCCCCAGATACAGGCACAAGCTGTTGGACGAGCTCGGCGTATCAGTCAGCAGAAGCCCGTTACAGTAGAGACGTTGATTCTCCGTGGCAGCATCGAGGAAGTGATTGTGGAGAGAAAGAAGAGCATGTCCCAGATCGAGCACTGGAAGTGCAAGACAATGTTGGACGACCGTCCGATCTACAACTGGATCCTGAACGCCGCCATCATACCGCTGCCCGAGGGCGAGATGGAGAAACTGGCTCAGGCAATTCCGCTGAAATATCCCCAACCGGTATTCGGCAGCGGTTTCGGAAGAGAACACCATCCTGACCAGGACCTCATCATGGGTGACATTGGTCCCAGCTCACCCATCAAGAATCGACAATCGGCGAACGTCAAGACTACCAACGGAACAAAACGTTCTCGCAGTCCAGAACCACGGAGTGCGCCTGTCCGCCCTGCGCGCAGAGCGCGATTTGCCGAAGATGATGCTGCCCCATCTGTCAACATCGCGATGAACGGCGAGTCCAGCACTGCAGAGACCCCGGTCATTGACCATCAAGAGAGCGTTCCACCTCAGGACTCGCATGAATTAGACACTAAGCCAGCTCGCCGAGTACAGTTCTCGGTGGCTTGATGACATGTCGGCGTACGGGTATTGTGTTTTGATCACGTTTTATAGATAATTGACTTGTATATAACATGAGAAAGGGTGCGGGCACTCCTAAAGCGGCGGAGTGCCATGGTGTGGTTTACCCACGGGTGGCAAGAACTGCTACCTGAGTCTATATATAACGTTCATAATAGCAGCTTCACGGAGGCAGCCAGCTGTACATACCTAATGACCAAAGGTTTCGGACTTCACCCTTCTTCTCTCTTCATGCAGACTGCGACGCCATCGAAGGCGCATACGCAGAGCACGCGCCCATCGGGGATCCGATCTGAAGATGCAATGCAAGCTGTCGGTTGCCACAGGGATATCTGAGATCGCAGGACGAACTGCGTTGTTGTCTGTACCTACACGCAGAGCCAAGCATGCGATGGCGTCCGAGGACCAGAGTCCTGAGCTATTCATAGTTGGATTTGGTGAGGTGTGAAGTCTGACCTCACGGACCATGTTGTTTTTCAGTCCTTGCGATGCTTGTTCCTGACCACGAGGCCTCGTTATGAAGGGGACTAAGTTCGATGACAGCGGAACCCGGTTCACGGCAAGCACGTGTGGACGAACCGGGTCGTCCAAGGAACTGGGCCAAAAGAACGGACCGCCGGTGCACTTCTTTTGGCGAGAGGGAGTTTGGACGTTTTTTTGGCCCACGAACCTCACCTTAAATCCCGCGCGAGGGGCAGTGCGCGGCCCTCCGTCCGTTTTGGCGAAACCTCTGTGCACGAAGAAGGCCTGGACATTGCTGAGATTTGTTTTTTCTTCTTCTGGACAGAGAAATGATGGGGTCATTGGCCCATGGGAAGAACCAAACCAGGTTTTGCAGGCATTGTGAAATAGGTCGATCAAGGTGATTGGGGTTCTTGGACTTTCGTGCCGAGACGGCGGCGGCACGCCGTTGTGTTGTAGCTAGGAAATATCACACGCGAGTGGGGAGGAACACGCACCCACTCTCCAAACCGAGATATCCGTTCAACGGGGGTGGTTCAGCCGGCAAGAAAGGCGATGATGCAATGCGGAGATGTCGGCAAGCCGCCGCGGCCCCCATTGCCCCCGGAAAGAGAGGCTGGGAGTCAGGCAAGGTAGGTTTGCGGTGACAGGAAGATCCCCACTCTGCCTTCCGGTGACTGTCCGTCCCAGTTTCCGGGGGGCGGCGACTGAAGAGGAAGAAGAAGAAACGGAGGCGCATCATGACGCCTGTCTCGTTCAATCTGTGACTGTCAAGTCTCTGGGCTGAAGGGCGGGAGGCGTTCTGGTCCACACCATCCACATCCAATCCTTCCAAGTTTCATGGATCCTTTTGCAAAAGTCGGCTGTTGAGAAAGCCTGGCCGGTGGCGCCCTTGCAGCAGCAGCAGCATCATTATCGCGCACTTTGACGCGCAAGTGGCGGCGCCGCCAGGAACAGACGCGGGTGCATTAGACCGGCGCTCGCTAAGAAGTACCTCGCCTGCGACGCAGTTTAAGAATGACAGATGCATACAATGCAGAGCCATTGTCGATAACATTCCTCGCCCCAAAAGGACAGAATAGAAAAGTCCAGAGGTTGGGCCGTTTGCGCTAAGAGTTGGGTCTAGGGCAGGACACAGCAGGGACGCCCGTTGAAACGAGTTTCTCACCAGGGCAACGACTTAGCCCAAACTAGTTACCTTGCTCCGATCTCTCGGGACTATCCCCTCCAGCATGTCTATTTGCATTCCACCTAAAAGTCCCGTCACCTTCTCTCGGCTCGGCTTGGGACGAAGGGCAGGCAAGAGAAGATGGGATGGCCCGGGCGGGAGCGACTGCATACCATCATCACACCATCCCGCCGGTACCGCTCTCGGGCTGTTGTTGAGATGAGTCGTGAGATCGAAATTGCGATGATAGCGATAACAGCCCTGGGCAAGATGGGTTGCTTCGAGTGCGCGGGAAGTCAGCGGGAGGCGGATGCGAGTAAGCGCCTTTCAAGATTGACGAGGCGTCGTTGATGCGACCTCAGCACGCGCTGCGGCGTCCAGGGTGCAAGCCGGGGCCTCTCAACTCTCAGCTGAGGAGGGGAAAAGAGAGCCCGGTGGGATTTGCCATGTCGACCGTTGGATTTCCCACTTGAAGCAACATCCACGGCATCCTGTTCCTGGTGTGTTGGAGTTTAGCCAATCCGCCAAGGCAGGAAAGCAGCAGCGTACCCGATGCTGCAGCCCTCGAGGTTCCAGCCCCGTCTGTGCCATCGAAACACTCCAGACCGACAATCCCGTCATGGCCAGCTGCAGCAACAACCCCCGTACGTACGTCCTATCCAATCTTGATGCGTGTGGGCGTGTGAAGGTGTGTGTGTTTGACGCTGCAGGGCGGAACGGGATCTCCCCAACCTCTCGCCGATATGCTTCGCGGGTCACCTCATTCGTTGGTCTGAAGGTCCGGACGACGAGCCCTGGGCGAAAAGCGAAAAAAGATGAGACCAGACGACGAGAGGGAGCGAGCTTAGGGCCGTTCAGGGACTGGGCTCTATTTGCCCGAGACGACTACCAACGCACAATCACATCACCATTGCCTGTCCATGTCTCTGTTTCTCTGTCTCGCGTTCTCCTCGGCCTAGGTGCTTCACATGAAAGGACCACGGAAGACGACGGCAACGTGCGCAGCTCTGTATGGGCTGTGTGCATGGCCTGCATTGTCCAGAGGAGCCTATTGCTGGACGTCGATGGCGGTTCATCGCAACCCCGCGAAACGGGGGGGGGGGGACAGGGAATCATGGCATATGCCTTGGCTACCTCCAGACAGCCCATTGGCCGCGAGCAAACCCGGGAGTCGTCGTCGTCCGTCCCAGCCGCCTCCGCCACGCAAGGAATCGCCCGGCGGTCCAGAAACCTCGCCCAAATCCACCCTGTTAACCTTGTTTTCTTAACTTTGCACACAAATATCGTCTTGTGCTGAAATGGAATTGTGGGTAGACGTTTATGGATACAGCCTGCAACACATCGTCGATTTGATGGAAGAGGCGCGGGACTGGGCTAGACGAAGGGGGGGCACCGTGGAAGGTAGAGGGGTCAGATTGCCCACATTCCAATCATTCATGCCGACTAAAGCATGCCCCAGCCGCTGTGTTGCAGAAATGCTGCCTCCATATTGCGTTGCTTTGCGTAGAGATGCGGTAAAGGGCACGGAAAAAGTTCTCTGGACCAGGCCTGGTCCTTGTTTGTTCTGGTGCTGCTGCTTCCTGGTCTGAGGGGGCGAGCGCCGACACATGGACATGTCTTACCGTGCCCACGACATGACGGATATTTCGAGCGTGCGTGGGTTGGGGGTGTTGGCTGAGGCGTGTGTGTGTGTGTGTGTGTGGTCGTCCTCGCGAGAGAGTGGGAGGAGCCTGATATAATGCGGTCAGCGCATGAGATTCCGCAATCTCGTCCTTTTGCCCTCGCTGCTCATTTCTCTGTGTTTCGAGTGCGCGCAACCGCCCCCTTTCTTAGCATTGGTACATATTTGTCTCGACTCGTTCCTTGATTTTCTTCATTTTGGTTGTTCGGATTGCTTGGGTATATGGGTCCCGGCCGGCTTGTCTGAGCTTGGCTTCCACTGTTTCCGACCCCTATCCTTTCAGCTCAGCTCGCTTCAGTCCCTGCTTGGTGATGCCTTCAACTTGGTAACGGGCGGGTCGGCTACTGAATCGAGAACCCACACGACAAGGCAACGACGGCAACTAGCCAAGCTCCCCACGTTGGAATATATTAAAAACACACAAAATTACGGCACATCGACCTCATGAGGACCAAAGTTGCGGGCACCCTTTGGCGACAATAAAAAGGGCAGTCTCCCCCTCAGACGGCCCCGGCGAGCGGCGCGGCGGAAGTTTGAGTGAGAAAGAGAAGAGAATTGTGAGGAGCGAAAAAGAGTCGGTCAGCGCCCCAGCAACAACGGAATCTCACCGAAGGCCAAGACGAGGACGCAACGAGCCATTGAGACTCGGAAAACCCGAAATCCACGGCGAAATGATTAGCGGACGGCAGTACTACGAGATCCCACCCGCTGGCGGCGGCGGGAGCGGCGGCGTCGTCATCGGCGGCGGTGGTGGTACCCGTGGTGGTGCGGGCACCCACGCGATGAACGGCCACGGCAGCATTCATCGATTCGACCCGACATACGTTCCCGGCTACGGCCACGGCGTGCATGGTTACAGTCGGGGCCATAGTCACGGTGGTGGTGGCTACTACGATCGCAACCGCGGGACGCGAGTCCAGCAGTACGACGACGACAACGGCGATAGCAACAATATCAGCATCAACCACGGCTTCAAGCCTGCCCCCGCGGCCAGGCAATCCCTCTCGGCGCTGGACGAGAAGCGTGCTAACGAGATCCGCCGAGGCGTCTACGCCCACGTCTTTCTCGATGTCAAAAATAGCAGCAAATCAGAAGTCTCGTAAGTCCCTCTTTCGTCCTACTCTCTGGTTTTCGCGCCTCCGTCTTCCATTGGCCGCCCCCGTTTCTTGGGTTCATCATCCACCTTTGCTTTCCATCGCAATTTTGTTTCTCGTTTTCGCGCGCGCGTCAAAAAATCCGTCGGTCAGGCTGTCAGTCTGTTTTCTGCCCTTCGCGCATGTACACTTCACTTTGCATGAGAATGCGTTCGTGTTCGTCTCTGCTGCAGTCGGATTTACTAGTCATTTTCCGGGCCTGCTAGTCATTTATGTTACCGCGTGCCTCATGCTGCAGCACTTTTTCTGCTGCTGCTGCGCCCTCTTCGATGCCTGTCCTGACTTTGAGGATGGTTTCATCCATTTGCGAGTTGGGACGGGGTCGTTTGGGCTTCAGGTTCATCCGATTATCCCGTTTTGTCAAAGTCAATCCCTGGTACCCACGTTGTTTGCGCATGTGCATGTTCATGCTGCGTTTTTCTGTTTTTCCACCGTCTCTTGCCCACATTTTTGAAGATAAAATCTGGAAATCTGGATGACGACTTTGGATACAAGTCCGACTGTTATCGCGTCGTGCGATCTCCCGAAAGAGTTTAATGGGGCGCTGCTCCACGCCTCATTTCATCGGCGCCCGATGTTTCCAAGCGGGACGTGGAGCTGAGCCGACGGGGTGCCTGTTAGTGTTGGTTATTGGAAATGCTCTCTCCATTTGCACTTGCACACTTGCTTTTCGGGAAGGCTTGGAAAGACAAGACACATGCAGCAGCAGCATGCGGGAAAATCCCACAGACGAGCAAGCCGCTTCCTTCAATGCCGCAGTCGTTCCTCGAACCTGCTTCTTCTAAAATTGCGTCCCCACGAGATCTTCCGCCCAGCCTCGGCGCGGGCGGAGACGAGAGCTCGCTGATCGCGAGCTGTCACTTCTGGTGATGGACACGCATCGTCATCCCCCCAACATGGATGGAGCTTTGGTTCCCCCGAGTTCGACTTGGACTTCTGCTCCATGTCTCCCCCTTGCCCAAAAAGACACATAGCGCAACATACGACCCCCTTGCTCTTTCATCTCCAATCTCCAATCTGCAGCTCAAAGTTGGGCAGACCCATGATTTGAATCATCCTTCATCCTTGCCAGCAGCCGCAAATCACCCACCCTTCCGACCTGGAGCGGACGCTCTCAATCACTTGGGTGCCAGGGAGCACGAGAACGGAGACTGCAGACGTTTTCTCGGAAGGAAACGATAAGCCCAGCAGGAACCAGGGGACCAAAGGAGCTTCCTAATTTCCACCAGGAACAGTGGCGCGCGTCTCTGTCCAGTGGCCGGCGAGGACAAGACTCGCGCCGCTACCCGCCAAGCGGCACGATACGGCTCCAAGGCTGGCTGCTGCCAGAGACCAACAAGATTTTTTCCTTCTGTTCCTCTTCTCGTCCCTCTTCGCGCCGCACATAGTGTAAGCCCTAGCGCAAGTGCTAGAGTAGGGAGTCGTCGTCGTTCGCCGCGCCCACGTTGCCGGGTTGCGCGACTCGACTACGGCGTTGCTTAGCCCGGCCGCCTTGCAACGCCTTCCCAAGACTCGACACAACACCCGCGACAACCCACGGCTGAGGTTCGCCGGTCCCAGGTGCCAGGGACCCCCTTCAAGCTCCAAGTGCGCCCCCAAGGGGGTGGTGGGAGGGGTGGGAGGGCCCTTGGTTCCACGGCCCATGGCAACCCCCCCGCCGGTGGATGGTCGATGGGCGGGCACCCATCAGTGCCATCACGCTCCATTGGGATAGGATGATCAGAGCCATTGTCTGAGCACTGCCGATGCACCTGTCTGTCGTTGCGTTTTGTGTGTGTCTTCCACGGATGTGTTGGTGTCCGTAGTTACGGTACAGAGTACCTTACGCAGCCTGCCTCCGCTGAAAGCCTAGGGTCCAGGCTACAGCCTCCCCGCCGGTGCCAGCGCTGGTGCGAGTGCCGGCCTCTGTGCTGTTTTCCTCCCGTCTTTTCGTATTAAACATGACTGAACCCCCCCCCCCATTCGTCACGTCATGCTGGCGCTTGTTTAATCTTCTCTGTTTCTCGCTTTCACTGTTTGCCGATTGCTTGTACCTTCTTGGCTTGGACACTGGGACTGGGGCCGTTGCCGATTTCCGATTGCTCTTGTTGGATCTCACCTATTAACACGTCTTCTCCCACCCCAGTAGCAACAATCCTAGAGTTCAACAACACAAGAGACGAGCCTCCGCCTCCCCTGCTGCTTCCACTTACGTCGTACACGATGGTAATCGCCTGAGAGTCCCCGGCCGTTTCTCTTCACGCCCGTCAGTCGCTACCGCAGTCACCCTGACCCCCGTCATGGCCGCCAGCCACGGACCGGCCCCAGCATACTTTGGAGCCCCTACGGAATTATACTCCAAGCGTGATTCCTCGATGAATGCGATGAACGCGATGTCGCCCGCACGATCGAGCCCGCGGATAGCCCGCGTACCGTACGCCCTGCAAACAACATCCGCCGAATCCAAGGGTGTCGTCGAGGCCATGCCCGTCACCCCACTCAACAGACCGCGGAAGCTCTCACAGGCTTCCACTGTCACCGTAACCAGCGTCAATAGCCCGAGGGACAGCTTCGACTCGAGGTCGAGGAGCTCGTCATGGAGCAGCAACAGGTCCAGTTTCGAATCGAGGGACTCGTGGAGACCTGACTACCTGTATCAGCGACCCAGCCAGCCTGTCGTCTTCAGGAAGAAGGCCCAGCCTGGTGAGATCTTTGCAAAGCTGCCTGGAGAGGTGCTGGAGCTCATCCTGGGCGAGCTTAAGAAGTTACATCTTGACAGGAGTAGTGAAAGCTGTGCGACATGTTGGATGAGGGATCTGTGCTCCATCAGCCTGACTGCTCGAAAATGGTGCAAATACGCACGAGTGGCCTTGTGAGATATTCTTTCCTACAACGCCGTTCTGTTTGCTGACGACTTTAAGATACGAGGACATCCAGCTGGTGGGACCAGACTCGACCGCGCAGAAGAAGAAGTACAAGCTCGCACTTGGCTCCAGAATGATGCTTCTACGACGAACTCTGAGATCGAACGCGTACCTCGCCGCCATGGTTCACACCGTGAAGGTCCCCAGCCCGCCCGTCGGCGTCGCGCTGGAGGATTATCACAACCAGGTGGCTGCCCTCATCATGGCCTGTCCCAACTTTGAGCGCCTCATCGGTCTTCACCCTCAGTACAGCCACTCTTTCAGCAAGCTGTACCACGCCCTCTCGACCCGCAAGCGTCTTAAGCACATGGACTGGGTGGTCCAGCCCTCACCCTTCCAGCGACAGCACCGATTGGGCCGTTCGAACTCTTCTGATAATGTCCCAACATTAACCCAACGCCAGCGCGAGATGGTGACGCCTGGCGATCTGCAACCGCACCAGAGCGCTACTTTCCTCGAATATCACGTCGACTGGGCTCACCTCAGCACTTTGACGATTCACTGCCTCCCGGGCGCGACGCTCACTCCCGATAATCTCGTCAGCTCGGCGCTGATGCACCTGACGTCCTTGCAGCACCTATACCTGTCTCACATGCCGGTGACTGCCTTCAACGACAACGCCCTCCTTTCGCTCCCTCCCTTGCGCACACTATCTCTTTCCCACGTCCCCGGTGTCACTTGTGCCGGAATCTCGGCCTTGGCGACTTTGCCTACAAGCCAGGCGATCCAGAAACTGACTCTGCGCCACATCAACCTCGAATCCCTGCCGGCCCTGGCTCGCATCTTCTCCAACTTCACCTACCTCGAAGCATTCACTCTCGTCCAGAGCTTCGCCCCTACCCTCCCCACAGACACTTTCATCTGGCTCATGCCCTATCTTGCGTCTGGTTCCCTGCGCAAACTCCACTGGGATATCACCAGCAACACCACCCACGCAAACGCAGCGGATTCGATCCTCGCCCGCAGCATTGCAGCCTCCGGCTTCCCCTCCCTTCGCAGCCTCCGCACCCCGAACGACCCCGAGGGTATCTTTCAAGCTCTCTGCCGCCCCTACGAGCGCGTCGACCTTGCCAGCGACCGATTCCGCCAGCCCGTTGCCCGAAGCGCCTCGTTCCCCGCCGCGGCGCCCGGATCCCCCACCAAGTCCAAATTCCCGACCAAGGCCGCCACACTACCGCCCACCGAGACATTCCTGGAGTGCACCGATCTCCACCAGGCCCGTCTGGCAGCGCAGGCCCGCCTCGAAGCCGCGCGGCCTTTCCCGCGGTTCTTTGTCAACGTCATTGATGAAGACGGCACGCTGTTGGAGAAGTACGGACTGGCAGGTTTCATGGGTACCGTTGAGAGCCGTATCTCATACAACCTGCGTCCGGACTCTGGCGCGAAAGACGAGCGTGGCGGAATAGTCGAGATGTCAGACTTGATGGCTGGCAGCAACGGCGAGGACATTCCCAACGGCAAGGAAGGCTGCACCGGACGCTGGAATGTGTCCTCGTCGGCGGCGGAGAAGAAGGACAAGGAACGGTGGTGGCACACGGAAAGAGGCCGATGGCACCAGCCCGAACTTGCGTAATGATGATGAAACGTAATCATGGAGGCAATACCCCTTGTGATCTGGCTTTTCTCTCTCTCTCTCTCTCTCTCTCTCTCTCTCTCTCTCTCTTGTTTCTCCATGACGACCTACTCATGATATCCAAATTGTCTTGGACGTGGAGATAGATACCAAACGAAATCTGGGATGGGGCAACGGATGTGTATAGATGTGCTTAATGTTTTATAACGGTATTTAAAGGGCCCAACGACAGACGGCGAGAGATACAAGATGATGCCAAAAAGAAGTAGATAGGCCAGGAAAGAAATCAACAGCACCTCTTTGACAGGGGTTTCTTGACGATTGATTCATCCTTCTGCTATGCTGTCTGTCACATTCGTGGGGGTCTGTGAAACCTTGTCAGGAAACTTTCCAGAAAAAGGAAACGTTTTGCCCTCCAAGTCCAGTTGCCATGGTGTTTCGTTTTGCGTGGAATTCTCTAGAAGACGGTCCGT